ATATATATATATATATATGGAAAACTATTTGGCCATAAAAAAGGATGATATCTTGCAATTTGCAAAGACATGGATGGAGCTAGAGAGTATAATGCTAAACTAAATAAGTCAGTACAATTCATACAATTTGAATTCACTAATATGTGGAATTTGTGACACAAAATAAAACAATAAAGAGAAAAAGAGAGAGAGAGAGAGAGAGAGAGAGAGAGAGAGATCAAGAAACAGACTGTTAACTATAGACAACAAACTGATGTCTACCAGAGGGCAGGTGGCTGGAGAGGATGGGTTAAATAGGTGATGGGGATTAAGGAGTGCACTTGTGAAGAGCACAGGATGACTTCTGGAAGTATTCAATCACTATATTGTACACCTGAAACTAATATAACACTGTAGGTTAACTAACTAGAATTACAATGAAAAATAAATATTTATTCAGTGCTGTAGTCCAAAGACAAGAAATTATAACTACCACGCAGAGGTCAGGGGGCTGCAGAAAACCATTGCTAATCTTACATGTCCTCAGAGCCTTTGGGTGCAAACTTGAGGAAGAATGCTAAAGCCACCACAGAAATTCATGTTTGATATCTTTTGGAATCCATATAAATAATGGGTTTTATCCCTATTTTATTTTATTTTTTAATTTAAACTTTAGTTAGCATACAATGCAATATTGGTTTCAGGAGCAGAATTCAGTGATTCATTACCTACATACAACACCCAGTGCTCATCAAAACAAAAGCCCACCTTTATATCCATCACCTATCTAGCCCATCTCTCACCCATATCCCTCCCTCAACCCTCAGTTTGTTCTCTATTGTTAAAGAGTCTCTTGTGGTTTATTTTCCTCTCTTCTCTTTTGTCTCCCCCCTTACCATATGTTCATCTGGTTTGTTCTTTAAATTTGACATATGAGTGAAATCACATGGTATTTGTCTTTCTCTGATTGACTTATCTTACTTAGCATAATACATTCTAGCTCCAACCACTTCATTGAAAATTGCACGGTTTCATTCTCTTTGATGGCTGAGTAATATTCCAGTGTGTGTGTATGTGTGTGTGTGTGTGTGTGTGTGTGTGTGTGTGTGTGTGTATACTATATATCTTTTATATCCATTCATCAGTAGATGGACATTTGGGCTCTCTCCATAATTTGGCTATTATTGATAATACTACTATAAACATTAGGGTGCGTGTACACCTTCAAATCTGTATTTTTTAATCATTTGGGTAAATACTTAATAGTACAATTGCTGTATCATGGGGTAGTTCTATTTTTAGTTTTTTGAAAAACCTCCATTCCTTCTCCAGAGGGGGTGCCTGTGTGGCTCAGTTGGTTAAGCATCTGACTCCTGATCTCAGCTCACGTTTTGATCTCAGCTTTGTGAGTTCAAACTCTGCATTGGGCTCCATGGTGGGCATGGAGCCTACCTAAAAATAAATATTTAATTAATTAATTAACTAATTAACTAAATAGAAACCTTTGAGGGAGAAGTAGGAGGACCCTTGGCTTTTCTCATCCCACTCTATTTTTAAATGTCATGCAAATGTGTATCACTGGTAGGAGCCAAACCACATACAGATCTTGCTGGCCAAGAAATCTAAGAAATGTAATTGATGGGCTTCCAGCTTCTGCAACATGGGGGAGTGCATAGATAGAAGTGCTAGCTGACAATATCCGGAAACATCCTCTGAGTTCTATTCCTCTAAACTTTCTGATTTTTTAAAACACCAGATTTCCTATATTAAACCTTCTGTTTATTTTTTTTAATTTTTTTAATGTTTATTTATTTTTGAGACAGGGAGAGACAGCATGAACGGGGGAGGGTCAGAGAGAGAGGGAGACACGGAAATCTGAAACAGGCTCCAGGCTCTGAGCTGTCAGCACAGAGCCCGACGTGGGGCTCGAACTCACGGACCACGAGATCGTGACCTGAGCCGAAGTCGGATGCTTAACCAACTGAGCCACCCAGGCGCCCCTAAATCTTCTGTTTAAAATACCTAGTTCAGTTTCTCTTTTGCTGTCTAAATCCTGAGTTATGTACACTCTTCAAAGATTCTGACTGAGTAGTTCTTATAGAAGTGGACTGTGATCCATATTTTGAGAAGTAATGTTTTTGAGGGATTTCCTCCCCCCTACACACAGTATTGGAAGGAATAAAATTACACCCCCTCTTTATCCTTACCTTGTCCTATTGGCTATTTCAGTGGAACATTTCTTATGTGTAATCTATCCAGTAATTTATTTGCTAAGTAAACATTGCACTACCTTCCAGAAGAACAGGATAGAAAATTAGAGAAATAATCCAACAACTCAGGTAATGTTGGGTAAATTACTGAACCACAAAAACAACAAAGATATGTTCCTAAGAGCCCAGCATTCCAAGTCTCCAAATTTGCTATTCAGCTCCAACCAGTTGTTTCCAGTCAGGAATGTACAGCCAATATTGCCAAATTTTCAAATGATTTGAAGAGATTTTTTTTGGGGGGGGGGTATGAAATGACCTTTTCAAATACTGACAAGGAAGTAAATAAACAAAACATATCTGTGGGCCAGACCTAGGGACTTAAGGATCTAGCCCTAGGAACAACTAGTTTGTGACCTTGGCCGTAGGACTAGAGCATGTGCTAGAGCATGAGGAATCAAAATGAAAAATGAAAAATTCAAAAATGATACAAACTGTATTTTGTATCAAAAGGGTCCCAGGCTATGGAGAAGAGAGGCACACAATACAAATATGCACAAATATGCATCACAGAGGAGGGTGGAATTAAGTCGAAGTCGGACAGGTCACTGGAAGAAGTGATGTATTATTATCTGGGCTTCAAAGAATGTATAAGAGCCCCTAATGTGGGGAAAGTGCATTTCAGGAAGAGGGAGCAATACATACAACATTGCATAATGAAATGACAGTCTTCATAGGAATCTGTAAGAAATTTAATATTGCTGAACCATAAAATGAAAGAGTGGTGAGGTAGGGGCAGTGGAAGGGATTGAGATCAGAAGAAGGAAGACCCATAGATCAGAGGCCTTACTTCTAATGAGAGATAATTGAAGACTTGAGACTGGGAAATGGAAGTGAGACTGGAAAGGAGAGCATACACAAGCGAAAGTTTTGCACAGATGCACCAGGACACATACCCATCAACAGGGAAATGAATGGGATATTGCACAGCACTCAAAGTGAATGAACTACATCTACATAGGTGAATTTTAGAAACAAATCATTTAGCGAAAGAAACAAGTCCCAAATTACTACATAGAAACAGATACAAAGTGCTGTGAAATTTGAAAACAAAACTAACAAACATGTTTAGGCATGCATGTATGTGATAAGAATGTATGTAAAAAGATCATGGTAATAAACATAAATCAAGATAATGGTTTCTTCAGCAGGGCAGTTTGGGGAAAATGCTGAGATTTAAATTATCAGTAAATATTCTAGTTCTTTGGCTGGGTACCAGATTCACAGGTTTCTACTGTAATTTAAATGGATAGATGGATGGATAAATTGTCGTTTATGGCTCCATGAACAAAATGTCATGACTACGTACTCTGCTTATTTCTGCTCTTTGTACTTAGGGCTATGAGAATTAGCATTTTGGAGGTGGAATCAATTGGTTTCCAGTCATTTTGTTTTTTACCTTAAACTGGTTTTAGATCAGTTCCTCTAAGGGAAGAGGCCTCACTATGTGAGGCCCACGTGCTTTTACATCCCGCTCTTTTTACCCTTTGCCCTTGGCCCTGCTTCCCCTCCAAAGGGAAGAGGGTGACGCCAAGCAGTTGGTGAAGGGGGAGGGGCAGCCCGTGGATCTAAAGTGTTCCTATTGGTGTGGAGAAGGAGCGAGAACGAGGCTCGAGCTGTAGCGTGGAAAAGAGGGGCGAAGGGGGCGGGGCTAAATGGGAGGCGGGGCTAAAAGAGCTTAACGGGAGCGAGGCGCAAGTGCAATTGTCCGCGCTTCGCTGCGATGGCGGCGGCGCCGAGCACAGTTACACTGCTGGCGGCGGAGTCTTCCCCTCAGGAAGCTACCGTCCCTGCCGCCTCCTCCTCCTACACCGCCTGCGCGGCGGCGGCGGCAGTGGCGGCAGTGATTGTGCCTGCCTCCTCAGCCACCTCCACCCCTGCCAGCCCGCCTGCCGGTGGCTGTGGCGACAGCGGCGGCGGCTTTGGCGGCTCCACTATGGCGGCGGCGGGGAGGGGGGGCAGTAGTTTTAAAGTAGACACCCGCCCTTGCCTCAGAGAAGGTGAGTTCCCGTCCCGGGGTGTGGGGGCGGCCCCATCTCCTTCGCTGCCTCTCCAGCCCGTCCGCGATCAGACTGGGCGCGGTTCACCACCGCCCCACCCCCACCCCCACCTGCTGTGGCGCAGTAAAGGCCAAGCTCGCCCCGCCCCGCCGTAGTAGCCCCGAGTGTGCAAGATAGACCGAAGTAGAGAGGGTCTTCCCTACTTCTCCCCACACCCCCGAAAAGGATGGGGGGGGTCCCCAGGAAAAGGAGCTGCAGGTATTCACAAAGCAGGAGTTTGAAGGGAAGAAAAATACCACTTAGTTTCTCTCCCAACCAGGGCGCCTTAGTATGCTCTGTGAAGTTGAGGTGTGATTTGGTAGAAAGGAGACAAGGTAGAGGTGCTGTGGAACTGGAGGGTCAGGGAAAGGGAAGGGGGACTGATGGAGAAAGGGGGCAGAGATAAAAGAAAGCGCTGAAGAAATAAATAAGAGGGGGGAAACCCCCTTTGGTGAAATTCAGCATCCTGCAGTGTAGAAACTTTGAATAGGATATTTAGAGAGGAGATTAGGAATTTGGGGAGGTTAGAGTGTATACATGAGCTTTAAAGTAGGAGCTGTTAGATTTTAGGGTCATAGGGTCCGATGGAGGGGGTTGTGCTAAGAAGAGAGTAAAGGAAGTGTGGGAGAAGCACAGATTTCAGATACCACATTGGAGAGTTTTCTTTGGCTATTTGAGGGTGTGACCTTGTAGAGCAAGGTTTAGGGACCCATCTTTGAGATGGTTTTGATTTTAATAAGTGCTGTTGTACCTACCAACACATACTACTCTTAACATAAAAAAGAGATTTCTTGACTATTTCAGTATAAATGCTATTTAGTTCACACAAATACTATATACTAGTAAACAGCAAACTGTAAAATTTGCCGTTGAGATTCATTTTAAAGCAGTGTTTGGAAATGCTTCTTAGGTTGTTGAGACCAATTCCACTACAAAAGATCTCAGTAAAGTGTTTTGCCATCGTAAATTTTGTAATTAATTTCCATTATTTGTGTGTTACCTTATATTGCTAACTTGCCTCCAAAGTGAACGACGTGGACACCAAAATGGAGTTTAAGTTCCTTTTCTTTAGAACCCCCCATTAAAATTAGCCCCTAAAAATGATTTTCTCTTCACATTCTTAAGTGATATATCCCTGTGTGCTATTTATTACCTTTCACACCTTTCACTTTGGGGGAATGGCAAAGCAGTAAAAAAATCCTTTACAATATTTGTCATAGGCACATGACATAAATGCCACTTACTAAATATGGAAGTTAGAAATACACTGCGATATGGTGATGTCTTTTTATTTATTAACTCTCTTACTGAAGGCAACCTTGGAAAGATTCTACTGTCTTCAGTCAGCCTGGATTTGTACAGTTGTTTCGGGATGAAAATATGAAACCTGGATTTTTGTTTGTTTGTTTCTGTACCAAACTTTCTATGTAACCGGAAAGAACGAGAGAACAGTTTTATAGGTGGTCAAGATCACAATTCAGTCTGGCTCTCATGGCCTTTTCACAGTAAGGTTTAGGACCAGTATCTCATGCAGCAAATGGCTTTTTGCCTGTCTCTGTGACTGGATTGGTTATAGTATTTTTTAATTTATGCAGGTATTAATGGCTTTAAGAGGTATAAATTCATAATGTAGCAACCATACCCTGTCTACACTATTACTAACTGACAAAACAAGGAGAGCTCTAGCATAGAAGTCTGGTGCAGTGAACTTAGGTACTGTTGTTTATCCATTAGATTTTGTGACCCTGAACAGATCACAAACTTCCTGGGTTTGGGTTTTGACATTTCTGAAATAGAGGTATTGAACCAGCCAGACTCTTAAGGTTGATTTCTGGTCTGACAGTATGAACATGATTTTGCAGTTCTGCATTGATACATACTCTTAATGACATTTCCATGGCTGTGCACTAGAACAGTAATTCATAAGCCATAAGAAACTTTGACCGTAGTTATCACTTGACATTCAGTGAGTAATTAAATCTGTGTTGTTAGTGTTGAGACAATTTACTAAGCTATGAAAAAAATATATAATTGCTACCTAAAAATTATCTCTTACTATTTCATTTTAGGTAAATATCCTTAATTATGTGTTCACTCCAAACCAAAACTTTTACCTTTCCACCTAACGAAAGATAAGTATGTAATATAGTACACTGTCCAAAGCACTATTACATCGTAAAATATTTTTGTTTGGATATTTCTAAAGACTATAAATGGTTGCCAGTTATAAGATACTGGATAAAAGAGAAGAGAGAAAAATGTTTCTTGATGGTGTGCCAGTATCTTTTGCTTTGTTTGTTTTTTTTTAAGCCCTGGTTAGGAGATTACTCTAAAATGTGACAAAGAATTGTCAAGATTCCAGTTGTTATAAGTATACTCCAGATAGGACCATTAAAAGTCGTTTAATAAAGCATTTGGTGATCTTTTTTCAACTATAGCCAACACTCCTAAGGATCTCATCTGTCTTGGGGTTGGTAATGAGCAAATGACAGTGGAGATTAAAAATTGCCAAGCAGGGAAGATGAGAAGTTTCAAAAGTTACAACTGGGAAATTGGGCAATAAACTTAAAAACAAAACAACAAAAAAAAACAAATGCCAGGTGAATGGACATATGACAAAACATACCTGCCTAGAATTCATGGTAAAGGGAGTCATGAGATTTTGTAGGACACTTCATGTTTAATGGCTCAAAAAAGGAATTTTCACCCAATATTGATGTTCCAATGTAATCATAGTAAACATCAAAACAAAAATAAACAAAAACTCTCTTGTTTGTTTACCTCTTCATTTAAAAAAATAAATTATTAAGTGAATTCTGTTTTAGATTGGAGGACATGCTGGCTTTTTCTTTAGTTAATAATCCATTTGTACAGTAATTACCTAACAATTACCTTTGTCTCCATATTATTCAGTGAAGTTTCAAGTCCATCATAAGAAAACCTAGTTAATGGCCTTTCCTTCATTTATTCGAGAATTGTTTATTGAACTCCTGTGTGTGTGTCACTATGCTCAGTGATGAGGATACAGTTGAATTAGACACAGCTGTGTCTAAGAACTCTAGATTAAAGAAGTCAATAGTATTGCTTGATAGTGAAATTATAAAATGAATAAATAAATAATTGAGGAAAATTCAATCTTAAATATCATTTGTCAGACTCTTAAACTATCAGGGCCCTCCCATTGTTTATTATAAATCTGCATTCTACCCATGGTGTCTTATATATTATAGGTACACTAAAACACATTATAAATCTAATGTTGGTATCTAGGAAGGAATAATTAGCAAACTGTTAGAATTAACATTTATTCTTTGCATTTGTTAGGGTAGGAATGTCTGGAGAGAGGTTAATGACCACTTGTTAGTTTCTGATCTTCTGTCTCTATGTGTCTTTAGGTGTCAATATGTGAAAATATTGACTAAGCCTGCCCCTTCATGTATTAATCACATATTTGTTTGGATATGAACCTTGATTCTTTTCCATCTGAAACCAATCTTGGAGATCCATTCACATTTACTAACCTATTGGAATGAATGGCATGGTGACTTTCTGATGCAATGTAGCTGTCATGGGATCAAGTAAATTAGTGGATTTACACAGGACTTGAATTCAGTTTGTAACTTCACAAGCAGGCAGGACTCCGGAGCTAACTAGCCACAGAGTGCTTACAATTATGAAGGTCACATATTTCATTTAAAGACAAAGTAAATACTAAACTTATAACTAGTATTCCCAGTTATTTTATTAATTACATTGCATTTTGTAATTATTAATATGCTATAGGAAAGCCTTCATTATTTTTTATTGTGAGAATCTGTGTAAAACACCCAAAACTTGCTAAACTTATAGGTCAGGTACTAATCTTATAAACTGAGAAAATAAAGATACTAGATAGCATTATAACTGGGTGTTCATAATGCTTACAGGTACACATCTGCACTTCTAGCACAAATAATATTTCTGAAAACTCCTTAAATGGGTTGTGACATTTAGGGGAAACAGTGTTAAAATACCTTGGCAAGGTTAACATGGTCCATTTTCCACTATAACTTAGTGTTGAGTTCTGTTCATCTTTCCTTTATATGAATGGTATTAAAAGATCACAAAGGTCGGAGCTCCTGGGTGGCTCAGTTGGTTAAGCGTCCAATTTGGGCTCAGGTCATGATCTCACAGCTTGTGGGTTCTAGCCCCGCGTCAGGCTGTGTGCTGACATCTTAGAGCCTGGAGCCTGCTTAGGATTCTGTGTCTCCCTTTATCTCTGCCCCTCTCTCTCCCTTAAAAATAAATAAAATGTTTAAAAAAGTTTAAAAAATTGCAAAGGCCAAGTCAGCTATTTAAAAAATGTTTTTAAATCAAGAACGCTTGAGGGAGGCTATCTCAAAAGGTGCGGTCATGGAGAATACAGCACGTATGCTCTTTGCAGAATTAAAATGATTATTTCTTGGATTTATTAATAGCTGACTTTAAATCTGTGACTGAGATTTATATTATTGCAGCCAACTCTTTTGAGTTTTTCATTCTTGTCACTTTATTAAAATAAGATGCAAAGACATGAGAAAGAATTAAATATGGCCTTTTGTAGCAACGTGGATGGAACTGGAGAGTGTTATGCTAAGTGAAATAAGTCATACAAAGAAAGACAGATACCATATGGTTTCACTCTTATGTGGATCCTGAGAAACTTAACAGAAGACCATGGGAGAGGGGAAGGAAAAAAGAAAAAGAGAGGGAGACAACCAAACCATAAGAGACTCTTAAAAACTGAGAATA